CTCCCCTCAATACCAAGTAAACAGAAACTTCATTAAAAAACAAAAAAACAAAAAAACAAAAAAAAACCACTAAACTCCATTGACAAAAGGAAACTTCATTTCAAGTAACCCATCACTGAATACAACATGCCTGCTTATCCAGACACTATATCATGCAGGAAAATGATTCTGTGACACTTTTCTCAAAACTTCAGTGCTCTCCAGAACAGGTTTTCCCTGCCTGCCCACACACTCTGTAGGAGAATAGATAATGAGGAACAGAACATTTTAAATGGAAGAGTTAAAACTGCTACTTTCCCAAATGTATGTATAATAACCTCTGTTATAAGATTCAGTTGTAAGGATCTGGATTTTCAAATTAAAATTTTAAAACAAAAAAGTACTTTACTCTTTTCAATCATCATAGATGATATAATGTTACCATAGATTACATCTACTGTTAAAGCTTTTATTTTCTTACAGTCAAGTGTAATAAAATGAAAAAAAATAAGACCTGCTCTAATTTCTGTATAAGTTTTCTGTTAGAACCAAAATGATACCTGCCTGACGTTCAGCCTGAACTTCAAAGTTAGGCTTATCTGTGTCAGAAACTACAAGAAAGGTATGAAGATTCTTTTCCCCAATAAGTATTACCTGAATATTGATAGATTTTATAATTACATTATGATTATATATTTCATCTGTACAAGATGTACAAGATAAAGAAATTTATCTGAAAAATACCTGGTCTTCATATTCTAACATTTCTAAAATGAGAAATAATCTATTACAGCTATCTATTTAGGACAGTATTAGCATGCAGTGAAAAGGTACTGCTTAGTACAGGTTTTAAAAAAATAGAATTACTGGAATTCAACATCCATCTCCTAAAAGTGCCTGAGAGTATGTTTAATATTGAATTAAATAGTGGAGAAATATGTACATTTTGTTTACTTTTTTTCAATGAATTATCATTAATATACAAAAAAATACAATAAAATACAGAGAGCAGAATGAGAAACACAGTATCTACTATGCTGCTGTCATGACGGACATTTTAATTGGCTCACAAGTGTAAGAGGACTGCAGTATGTTTAGACTTAATTTCCACATGTACAATACAGCCACTACAGCAAGTCTTTTTTTCTACATCTGGGAATTAGTTTATAGCATTGCAACTGTTGCTCATCTGGTCCTCTGCTGTCTTTGCTACGAACATGCATCATGACAGAGGAACTGTGGCTGAACAAAACAGCTAGCAGATATTATTGTAGTCCCACTAGGTATACTAGCTGAGAACATATCTCTGTGAGCAGAGAGCAGCCCAAACAAATGTGTTTAAGTCTACAGCTAAATAAAATAAGAATTGCAAAGTATGAACGTTTCTTATGTAGAGAAGAATAAAACAGTAGGGGAAAGGGACACGAGGTACAAGAACATATGCAAACAATATTTCCAGATGCCCTTACTCAAGGACTGCTGTTTTGCAATGCAGCTGTCAGGGCACAGTAAAGGCTATCTACATTACTGCTCGTTGGGACTTCTCCATGTTCTTTTTCTATCTAAAGATTACGATTTATTAGAACACACACAAATATATATATTTGTTCTTGTGAAAACTATTAATTTTCAAGAACACTCTTGTTTGAACCTTTTTGCAGATAAAACCATCACAGAGTATTCCAAATCAGTACAACAAACTTGACTGAACTTTTGCTTAGACAAAATATGAGAGCATAGAATTTATGCATTTATGGTCAACTGATAATAATTTGTATAATTTTGAACAACCACCAGACAGGCTGTAACCTCTCCAAGGATACAGAGCACAGAGAGCACCATCCTTGAAGTTGAAGATGCTTCACAGACAGGACTGACTTTCCCCACCTTCTCCCTCTTGAGGGATTACCAAGAACAAAAAAAAAAAAAAAAAAAAAAAGCAATGTCCTATATCCCTTGAGATGCTGAGTCATTCTTTATAGAAACTTCATTCTTTCTCTCAACCAAGCAGCCAAGCAGCCAGACCCTAGCCCAAGATGTGAGTATTCTCACAAAACTTGCAGTTGCAACAAAAGCAAAGAAGAGACTGATTTTACCTAAGACACAAGAATAAAACATTTTGTTTTGATTTTAAATTACAGGTGGGTTTCATAACTGCTGATTTACTCCAGCACACTGGCATCCCATCAGTATTACTATGATAATAAGGAAGCTTTTTCTTTTTTTCTTTCCCTATCCTATTTTTAACTCAATACAATTTAACATGATGTAGAAAATAAAACAGACTTCCAACCCCTGAAATCTTTCTGAAACCAGAGTTCTAGTTCCCCAGCCAGCCCTCACCCACATGGAGGCCAAATGCTTTTGTCATATTATTAATTCAGTCTTCACAAGAAATTATGGTTCTCTTGTTAGAGGAACTCTGCTATGAAATGCAGTTCCAGGAAATCTGACAAGTGCCCTCCTTCCTAGTATGATACTTTGGAGAGGAAGCACAGAGCAGAAGGCAGACTGTGGGCTTAGAGGGATGGTTTGCATAACACATTTCTTTGTGGTGTGGTTGGAAAGAGGAGAAAGCTAGAACATTTCAACAAAGTTTCTGTCTCTTGTAGCTTATAAAGGACAAGGACAAACAACAAAAATAGACAAACTCACGTCCTCACTTCCCTGACTTCTACTGTCTTGAAGCAAAGTCTACCTGCAAATTCTAGTAGATCATGCACTATGGACAGTGTTGAGGGACATATATAGGAAAAGTTTGGGGGATACAATAAAAGCAAATTTTTAATGAGTGTTCAGTTTCATACATTGTTTTAAACCATATTCAAGTATATTAATAGATTATCTTTAATATTTCTTTCAGCTTTCAGATAAGTACATCAGTTGTCATATGGCTACTGTGAACACAAGCATCAGCTCTTGGGAAGATGATTGAAGCCCTAATAAATTTGAAACCGGTTTCAATTAGTACACAGGAAATTTACTTTGTGAGCCATGACTTCTTTTATTAGTGCCCTGGAGGGCAATTTAGATTGGGAAAATAAATAAATAAATAAAATCAGGAGATCATTGTTTGCCAAAAAAAGAAAACAGATACTTAGCCTTCATCCATAGTCTGGGATGCAGCCATGAAAACAAGACTAAAATATTACTGAATATAAAAAAAATATTTATCTTTATACATTGAGGTCAAGCATAGTTTCAGGGTGCTGGAAATGACATCCATCCCTTCCTGAAGCATGTTGTTAGCATGGAAGTTTGCCACTTGCTGTTTTTACTTCTAAATGAACCCTAAGTAAAATCCTTACTTTGCATTTCTAATAGGTACAATTAAAATATGGGAACAGGTGCTCAAGAAAGCTGGAGTCTCTATATTTACAATTCAGTCTCCTGAATTTTCCACTGGATTACATCATACACATTTTCTATTTTTCTTATTGCTCGTATTCTCAGCTAGCTAGGAAGAAAATATAAGTTGCATCAAAGGCATAGGATACAGAGAAATAGGTAAAGAATCTTGCCAATGCAAAATCTCTTCTAATAATATGCACAGCAAGATGAGCTTTTATGATCACCAAATTTTTTCTGCCAACTGTCTGGTCATTAAGGTGAAAAGCATGACACACTAAATGAAATAACTCTTAATATTTCTTTCCCTAAAATAAACAAGCATCAACTACACAAGTGTTCTTTGTGTGTTAACCTGCCTTGACCTCATTCACCTCAATAAGGGCCTCTCGCCGTGTGGTCTATAATTTTTCAATATTTTTTAATCATAGCCATGCCAGTGTCTTTCACACTTCAGCAAGTTCCTTCAAATGATGCCAACCTCAGTTAGATTCAGCAGCAGTAGACCATAGCTTGAACAGCAAGGGCTAAATTGCCATAACTATTTCTTGGCTGTGCGAAGGAGCGAGAAGTCTCTCCTTTTTTACCCCCACACCATGACTAATGGTAGGGGAAAAGGATAGAAATATGAGAAGATCCTGGTGCACCTTCAGTAAGGGAAAAAATCCTCAAAAAAGGAGCTGAAGTGCTTCAGTTTTTTCATCCAAGCATTTACGGAAGGCTGCAACTCCAAATAAATATGCATATAATCTACCTTTAGGTTTCATTTGCACAGTGAGTGCACTGCAGTTAGGTAAAAGAGGCTGCTCTAGAAAATATTTTGGAGCATCTAAATAAAACCATTACTCAGAGCCTACCTTTGTGAGAAGAACTTTTAGGAATAGTGATTACAAGTACTTCAAAATTCATACAAGTAGAAATTACCACATAATTGGCCATCATTCCTCTAACAATGGGAACATTAAAAATTCCAGAGGTACTCAGTAACGAATCTCTGGGTATGTGCAGGTTTTGTGAGTGTATTAAAAGTCTTTCCCATTTGAAGTTTCCATCATCAAAGTTTTTGCTTCTCACATTAATCACTGGGGCAATATCTGAGGTTTTTATACCGGAACCTATTTCAGACATGCAAGTATCCATTAAAGAGCTAAGCTCAATAGGGCAAACTCTTCAAAATATTTGATTCCTCTGAACAGAAAAACTACCAGGCACAAAAACAGCTTTTTCACTGTGACAGCAGTTATAATCCAGAGCTATCTTATTGCTCTGTCACATGTCCTGGCCATATCCTGACCACGAGGCAGGAGTATCACAATAATGAAATAACTTGCAGGAAAGAGGGACAGTGACTTTTCCATCAATTGAAATTCTCCAAAGAAAAACAACATATGCAAAGACAATCCTGACCTGCTAGTTCTGACCCCGATAAGCAAGCATGACATTATCAGGTCATGAACGGGATCAGAACTGTAGACTACAGGACTGATTGCACCTACACTTTTATATATGGTGTCCATCAAATCAGCTACATTTTGATAGCAAGTTAATCAACACTAACATTAAAAACCTGTGACCAAATTTCAACACAGAATGCATGAAATTTAATTATGTTTAAAACAAACAAAAAAACCAACAAAACCCATCCATATTAAAAATAATAATATTAATCTTACCTCACACAACAAGAAGTGTTTAAATGTCAGAGTAAATTTGTCCACTTTGGTTGATGCCTCCTTTGATACTCCTAAGGGAAATTAATTTCAAATTTGAAAAATAGAATTAATTTACAGATAAAAACATAAATATTTGCCTACAAATTTAAAAATAAATGAGAACATAATCAAGTACCAGAGCATAGCTTTAAGGTATTCAAAGCCTTGACTATATAAAAACGAACATTCTAAATTCAGTATGATTTGGGAAAGTGCATGGCAGGAGGCTTGTGATGAAACACAGTTGTATTGCTCTTGTATAAAATATCAGTCTTTTTTGCTATAATGAAACAAAGTCATCTCAGTTTGCAAATGCAGTTTGTTAAGGTTGCTTATTAATAGAAAAAAGAAAAAGGCCCTCCACATGCATCAATTTTATTGGAATGAAGTTACAACTCTTTATAAAGGCAATCCTAGCCATAAGACACTGAACCAAATTCGTTTCAATTTTTGAAACATTATAGCATGGTTTTCCTTTGGCTCACTCAGTTAATCTTACATAGGAAAAGGAGGGCAGAAATGGCTACGTGGATGGGGGACGTGTAATATGAATAACACATAGCACAGGTGTGGAATATTGCATGTATAACCGTACGGCAAAAAGCAGAAGTAAAAGCACATGACAAGGAACCTGATCTGACATTAGCTAGAGTGCTGTAACACAGATGTCAGGTTGCCTATGCCTAAGAGCTAAACAGAACTATGCTTGCTTCGGCCTCACAGGTATACTCAGATGCAGATGCGGGAATTCACAAAGCCTAATGCAGCCAAGGAACATTAATTAGAAAGTTAAGTTCATGGTGAAGTAGCTCAGAGCACCTAACTTTAAACTTCAGCTCCAAAAGAACCTCACTCCCTTCACTGGATAAACTAAGATAATTCACTTTCCTACACTAACTTCAGACTGTGTGAATTCACCCTTCTCCATCTACCACACTCTTTTTGTTTTTAACTCTCCATTTTCTTTTCCTGAAAAGCTAGAAAACTATTTAAGTCTTTATACAGTTTATTGAGGAGAACCTAAATGGACCTTCCAGGCACCAGTGCATAATTTCTGCTGGCAGTATAACCAACTTACCACTGTCTGATGTATATCACATAAGTACAGCCATCCTGGACTGCACTGTCCTGCACTGGGACCTTGAGAGCACTCTGCATCAAGGTGTGCTAAAGAGTGAAGGGGTTGGAGAGATAAAGAGAAAAAGCTGTGTACAGACTTTTTATTGCTCTCTGTATGGAATTCATCCTTGAAAAATGAAGTCCAAATGGAACTAAAACCCGTTTTGGTCTACAGTTGGTTCATTTTACCAAACATCTTAAATAGAAAATCTCTGAAACCCAAGTTAAAACTTGACAGTTAACACTTACATTTCTTATGTCAGATCTTAAGGGATCCTACAGATTTAGAGGATACATTTCATGTTTCTATACGTTCTTGCACAATGCCTAACATTCCTTAGCAAATCAGTTAGTAACATTCCCACCTAAAATTATGCTACATCGTGCTTGCTACGTATGAGTACAGCTAAGGTAAAGAAACAAGTTTCTATATTTGAATCATGACTTAGAATTCTATTGAAGTGTTCAGTCCTTGTAAATGTAATTGATGCAGGATAAACTATGCTAAGTCATTTTTCAAAATAAAAAAGAGGTAAATGAGATTAAAAGCTTCTTTTCTTATAGAAAGATACTACAAAGCATTTGCTGAAACATAGTCTAGTACTTAGTTTTAAAGAGATACCAGACAAAACCCCATTCAGTGGAAGAAACCAGTGTCGTGAACCCACCCACATCACCTGTTAAACAGAAGCCACCATGCACAATTAAAGTAATTAATTCTCATGAAAATCTGAACAAAACACAGGGAAGTAGTTGGAAAGCATTTTCATCATTTCAGTGGAAGCGAGACCCAAACTAGGTACAAACCTACTGAATCTAATCATCATGTCTGCAAAGGCTGACATAAACCATAATAAAAGCAGAGATAAAATTAATAAGAAATACCTCTACAGATTCGGTGTTTTCTTAATCCTAAACAATTATTCGGAAAGATAACAAAGTGTTCTAAGTATATCAAACAGGCTTAGGGTTCCAACGAGTCCGAAATAACTATACAAGCCCTGTGAATATCCTGCTAGGCCAGTACTCTCTGGACAGTAAATAAAATTAATAAAATTGAGTTTAGAACACTAGATCTAAAGTTTCTCTATTTCTTGTAATGTTTATTCATATCATTAACCATAGGCGATAATACACAACAGCTGAAGAAACTATCTTCTTCTTAGTCATAAAAAAAGAAGTGATATTAAAATATTGTTATCATTATATTTCTGTTAAACGTCTATCAGCACTTACCCGAGATACAGCAACAGCTGTATTTCTGCAGTTTTGTCATCTGGACAGAACAGCATTCAGCATCTGTCACAAAGTTTCTAATTAAAATTGTGTTAAAGAGGTTAAGCTTTTTAGGATCAGCCATGGAAAAGATCCAGAACTGATTTCTAAGCTATAAAAACATAAATGAAATGAATTCATGTCAAATTGGGTTTTTTTGTTTGTTTGTTTGTTTTATGTAAACTAACTTTCTAGCATCAGAGCAAATAAACTGGGAAAAGAAGGAGAAAATAAATAAAAAAAAGGCTTTGAGATTCTCAAGAGGGGCATCAGAAGTTTAAGCACCCAGAATTATTAATCTCTTCTGAAATTCCTACTGCAGGTGCAAGAGTTTTTTTTCTTATGCACATGAAGCCCATTCCAAAATTTTGCAGTCACATGTAGAATGACCACTGATTTAAAATGTTTTTGTTGGTCTGTGTCCTTAAGCAAGAAGATATGTGTACCTTTTTCAAACATTTTCCTCAAGCAAAGGTTTTATGGTTTAGAATAACTTGAAGATCACCTGACTGACTAAAAAACTCACCCACATGCATATATATGCTAACTTTTCCTACTCATAGGTTCCTCATTGCTCATTCTTGTAGACTACTTCTGTTACCTCAGAAGCAATCACAGAAGCCAAACTACCTCCTTATGTTTTCTTTTTACAGCTGAGGTTTCTCAGATCTTTATAGGTACCATTTGACCCCTTTCCAGCTGGCTCTGATAACTGAACATGGGCAGCTGAGTCCAGAACTACCTTCTTGCTCCCTGAAAAACTGCTATTGAAAGGTACTGACCACCTTGTTAAATGTTCTATGAATAAAACAAAGTCCTGGGCCTGAAACCTGAGTCCTGCTGCTTCCTCCTGGACTGGCTCTGCAACTTCTTCCTGCTACCTGCTTGCTGCCCAAGGCCGGCCACGCTGCTGCTGCTCTCCCCGTGCTTTTGCCCGAACCTTTGAAATAGCGTGCAACGGGACCGCTGCTGGATCCTGGTGGTGACTATCCCCACTTTATCCAATTCTTGCTTCTTTCCTATTGCCCTCCTTCCCTTCCCCATCACCCTAATTCATAACAGTCACCATCCTTCTCTTCCCTGTCTCCCTGATGAGGGTTTATAATAAACTGGTTGGACCAACATTTGAACCGTTGTTTCTTAATCTCACACCAGGTATACATATATTTAAAAGAACCTCCTCTCCCTCCTATAAATTGGAGGAAGACACCATGCCACCAGCTGGGAGTGGCTTTCTGAGCTGATATGGAGAAGTGAGAGAAGGAAGACTTATCTGTTTGTGGCTTGGGCAGGTACTCTTGACAAAAGCAGAGAGCAAACACAGAAAGCAGCAGAAAAGGCAGTAGTTCCAGGTAACCTAGGAACCCCAATATTGACTGGGGAAAGATACAGTGCGTGGGGAGAAGATTTCAAATGATCTTATTTAATTTTCTTCACTGAAGATCTCTGAGCTTGCTCTGGTCTGAGTCATGAGGTTTTGGAAATTATTATTTTTTAATCACCATTCTAAGAAATCGTTTAGACAGGTTCATCCCAAAACTCTGTCTTACTGGAGTCCTATCATAGCATCTCATCAAATATACGAAGCTAGATATATGAATGAATAAATTTTCAGGAAGATATTTGACATTGAGATTAAATGTCAATATTTCCATAAGTAGTCCCAAGTGGTAATGTTTGGCCTTGCCCCATCGCTAGGGCTGTTTGTCACAAAGCCTTGAGATAGGTGGAAGCAGGATTTAAATGCTATGTCAAATGCATTTTTTCGTTCAGCAGAGATAAACGTTGTCCTAGACATAATAATTTTATGAGCAATACAATCTGAGAGAACAATATCCTTTTAGTGGCTATGGTATAAGTGGTATAAGTTATTGTAAATATCTTTTTTATTACCTAAATCATTTCCAAAGTAGCATTTGTGAAAATGCAGCTTTTCAAAATTAGGCTCACAGACAGGCAAAGCTTCTGCTTGTGTTTGGATAAAGTACATGCAATTCTCATAAATAGGATTAAATTGTCTCCAGTTGACACTAACATTCTCAGAAGCTATATTCAACTGATTATTGTGTGTGTGTGTGCATGAACTTTTGAAACACCACCAGCAGAGAAAGAGAGTAGAGACATTTCACTCTCTTTGAAATTAGTGGTGAAAATGAACACAGGAATTTTCAGAACTGGCCTTATTAATGAAAACCTTTACTGTCTGGTATGTATAAGGGCAAACATACTATTTACAATTAAAAACAGCTTTAGAAAAGTGATGGGGAAAGCCTAATGGGTGGTTTCTAGGGATAAAAAAAAACCCAAACAAACAAACAGATTTTTACATTCTGGCTGAATTCAAATGACAGGTACGCAGTGGCTACCTTTGGGGACCAAAGGTCTGAGAGCAAGATGCCATGTTTGAGTCCAATGAGGCCTTTATTTTATCCTCTTCATGTTGTTGTGGGGAAATACTAAAAGTTTCCCAAACCCACTCCAAGGTGAACATAATTAGTTTTGCTCCCTAAACTGTCTGAAACAGGACTACAACGATAATGGAGAATAATTGAGATTCTTGTATCAGCAGAAACTAAACTGACTGTAATGGGGTTTTGAAATTTCTTTTATCCTTGAGCAGAGTTTTCCAATATATTGATATTAAATCATTCTGGCATTAGCAGCATTATACTTGATCATTTTAGTACTTTGCAATATCTGGTATCCTTCATCTGATCCATATTTTTAAACTCTTTATACTTTCTATTGTCTATGAGCTGTTCTTTTGACTATATTGTTCCTAAATAGATATTTATTAATTTATTATTTATTTATTAAACCATTTTAGTAGGTTTTAAGATGGCAAGATTAAGTTTTCAGATATGTGGAAGAGAAATTGTGCCATACATAACGCATTCATCTTGTTATCCAAGTATTCACTTCACTCTGAATACCCCCGCAAATAATGGAATTTGGAGGAAGAAAAACAGTAAAAAACTTCTGCTAGTGCATAATACAGATTTTAACAGAATAGATAGTAGTTTCTGACCAGGTATCTTCAATAAATCCTATTTAAGTTTTTTAAAATTTGTTTTATTCCATTATTAGTATTCTGTTTTGATCTCTTTTGGTTTATGCCTTCAAAATAAAATTGTGTGGAGTAGCTACGTTTCTTCTGTATGCAAATTGCTTATGACATTTCTGATTACCCTGTGATAAATCTTCCAGGATGAATTACAGAGATGCAGTAGCAGATAAAATTGTAGTTTAACATAATGTAATGCTGAGGTATTTGACTTGTAGCAAAAGCAATGAATGAATCCATCCCCCTTTGCCTCCTACTCTTGTTAAACTTCCTCCAGTCTCATCTAGACATTGCATAAACGTCACTGCATAATTTTGGCATGACTGTAAAATTACTAATAGAGTACTGTGTTCTCACTGTTGCAAGACCTTCCTTTTTATTATTAAGTCAGTTTTCCTGCAGATAGTTGTCACAGGACATGCAATTTCCTTATGAAAAGGTCATTAAATGTGACAAATACATAAGCACAGTTTGCTTCCTCCCCAAGGCAGGGATTCAGAAATTTTACAGGAGTCTCTTATGCAATAATCCTCAGCAGCTAGTTTGACAGGTCCAGCCAGCATTAGTGGCATAACTGGATTTGGTGAGATATACCTTCAAAAGTCATTAATTACAAATGTGTAAGCAAAGACTAACAGTGATGAAAAGACCATATTCATTGAAGGACTTAAAGTAGTTGGCTTTTTTTAATTCAGTGAAATATTCTGCTACCATGCATCCTTGCACTGCAGAAATGCTAACTGCTGATCAATAAGAGATGTTTCAGTCACATTATTAACTCTTATTGAAATGTAGTCAAAAATAAAGATCCAGACCACTTCAATACCTCAAGTAATAACTACCTTCATCATATAAACTTGAAATCAGCGGAGATCTTGTCACAGACTTCTGTGCAAATGTTTCAAGAGCTTCAGGTGTTACTGTGCTCATAAACACATCATTTGGACGTAAATATGAAGTCTTACGAGCTTTGAACACAATCTATACTTGTTTTAGGGAAAGTGATCTGGTGACTTTTCAGCACTTGCTGTTAGCTTAATTACAAGTAGTGATACTATCCATAATATCATCACTATATGTCTTGACCAACTTGACATTTTAGTTGGGAACTTTATGAAATTCACATGAAGTTGCAGTTCTTACTGACCACTAGAAATGTGTTGTTAAAGATGAAAAAGCATTAAAGAATAATACTCCAAATGCAGCTAGCTCTATTTACATGCATTAGTCTGTTGTATAGAATTTCTTAAAAAACTTAATTTCTTTAACGTTTAATTCATAAACTAAATTTTATGTTATTTTTAGGAAGACTGCTATTCCCTTGCTAGAAATAAGGCAAATTAAACCATTTCTCTGACATCACTAACAACTCCAAACCTTTGCACGAGAGAGAGACTTATAAGGATTTCTGTACTGACTACTAAGAAACCAGGTCAGGTAGATGTCTAGCTCTTAGAAAGCTTATTGGAAAAGAAAATATGAAAACAAAAAGTGCTATGCTTCATCGTAGAGCAGAATATCATCTTACAGGGAACAATATCTCTCTTTTTTTTTTTTTTTTTTAAATAACAGTTTATTTTCTGATTGTGTTCTGACATAAATTATATAGACAGATGTGCCTTAGTCACGCATCAAGGTTGATTAACATTATTTTAGGTTTATACAACACAGGCTAAGGATTAGACTTTTTTATAGTAACTTTTTTTTCATTTTTGTACTAGAGAAAATGTAATGTTGCATGCATTTTTCTCTCTTACAGCACATCTGTACAATAAAAATAATATTTACATCATCATATTTTATGCTCTCATGCAGAAAAATCTAGTCATAGCTGGGTCTGCTTGTTCTCTTTCTAAGAACATGGTTTGGGAGAAGTCCTCACACAGCTTAAGATAATATCTAAAAATTTTTGGTTGTATGTTCTGCTACCCATACACCTATATATTTTTTTATGTTTTGAAAATTGGTTGATAACAAAAACCTTAGGATATATAAGTATTTTGAAAACAAACATCCATCAATTTAATTATTAAGCCCCATTGAATTCCTGCAGCCATGAGTCAAGGACTTTTAAATCACAGGGTGTGTATAGTGTTTTTAACCTCATTGTACCAGGCTGGCCTGAACTATAAGCAGGGTTCTTCCTAGAACAGTTCTTCACCAAAGAAAACTCTGTGGGAGGAGAATATGTACGTCAGGGATAGTGATCTGACCTCAGCTATTACAGATACCTATAGCTGGCATCAGAAAGAGATTAACATGAGGTTACTCAATATTTCTATTAGAAAGAGTTCAGTTTTGATGTTAGTCATGGGCATAAAGTAAATTTTGACTCCACTTTGAAATTCAAATTCTCTTAGTTATCTGCCAACTCCAATAAAATTACAGAAAAATAAGATTGTTATATTGCACAAACAAGTGAACATATGGTTGGAACAAAGAAAACTAAAGATTTATCTGAGGAACTGATAGTGAAAGGATCAGTGCTTAGTGGTACTCGAGTTTTACCAAATGCATTTATTTAAAAATGAAAAGCAAAACGAATATCTAATACAT